AATGACTTTTCTTACCTGAAATAGTAGCTTTGAGAGCTGGTTATTTGAGGAATGCATCTTCATTCACCCATTCAATTTTTTTTTTTTTTTTTTTTTAGAGACAAAGTCTCACTTTATTGCCCTTGGTAGAGTGCCATGGCATCACAGTTCACAACAATCTCCAACTCCTGGGCTTCGGCAATTCTCGTGCCTTGGCCTTCCAAGTTGCTGGAACTACAATTGCCCTTGGTAGAGTGCCATGGCATCACAGTTCACAACAATCTCCAACTCCTGGGCTTCGGCAATTCTCGTGCCTCAGCCTCCTAAGTAGCTGGGACTATAGACGCCTGCCACAATGCCTGGCTATTTTGTTGTTGTTGTTGTTGAAGTTTAGCTGGGGCCAGGTCCAAACCTGCCACCCTCGGTATATGGGGCTGGCACCCTACACACTAAGCCACAGGCGCCACCTTCAAATTTTTTTTTATGATTTCTGCGCCCTGGCACAATTTTCTAGGTAATAGAGAAAAGAAATGAAGAAAACGAAATCCCTTCCCTCTTAGAGAATAAAGATGTCCTCATAAGGGCATGTAATAATAGACTTTGAACTTTAGAGCTGTGTAAGGTACTGGTGAATATACCTCTGGTTATATAATGGGCTTTTTTTTTCCTTCACTACGTTAATTATGAGGTCTAAAAAATTATATAGAACCTATTCATCCTAAGGGCTTTTATTGGAATGGATGTGTTTTATTAGATTTGAGGAGTGTTAGTAATAATAGCTACTATTGAGGTCTTTCTGTTGCCAGGTACATGTAAAACAGCAGTTCAGTTGTTTTATATGCATTCACTTAATCCACCTAACAACCCTATGAGATAAAGTGCTTTTATTCTCATTTCATAGGAGAGTAAACTGAGTCATGAGAATTAAATAACTTATACAGGTTCACCAGCAAGTTAGAAGAGCTAGGATCTCAACTGAGGCAATCCAGCTTCAGAGGCCACCCGCTGGACCACTATATATTGCCTCTCAGAGAAGTGCCTCTGAAATTCCAAATCAGAGCTTCCTTGCCTGTTGGTTTCATCTCGTTACCTTTGAAGTTACTGAATGGCAGTGACAAAAGAGCAAAGCATAGTGGGTTTAGTGCAATATAGGTGTGTGTGTGTGTGTGTGTGTGTATATATATATATTTTTTTTTTTTTTTTAGAGACAGAGTCTCACTTTGTTGCCCTTGGTAGAATGCCATGGCGTCACAGCTCACAGCAACCTC